ACATGTTAGTTTGTTATGCCCCTCACCGTTGCAGTACCCACATCGCCTAATTTTCTTCTCGATCTTGTTCTTCGGCACTTCTTTTCGCTTGCGTTGTTTTCGTTGAGGGTCACGAACATTGTTTACTATAATGCTCTGGTTGACTGAATGATTCAAACCAAACGAGTTTTCTAATTCTTCTATTAGTTTTTCATCTCATCTCTTGCGGTTTGAAAGACTCGTCTGTTTGATGCAATGTAGCATAACCTACTTGACGTTGAACGTAGAGCAGCGAACCTTGCCATTTGCATCACTTCTGGAGACACATTCAAATCAACATAGCTGGGTGCAGAAGCCTTCGCATCATTAGTCCACCTACTTTGAATCAAAGTCCCGGGCAAATATGTGTAGTCCAATTGCTTCAAAATGTGAAGTTGATGGCGACACGGAAGTCCAACGGTCTCGAATTTTTTGCAGGAGCAAATTAGAGTTTTCGTACGAGAATCAAAACTAATTTCAAATTTCCTATTTTTTTCTGCGTACTTTGACAAAATATAATGTTGACATTCATCTGATAAGGACTTAATCTCTGCCTCAATCCGGTACAATGTCTCCCGTATAAGTTCATCTTGGAACACACGAAAAGATTCGCGGGTAAAAATCGCAGCGGCATGGCTTTCAAGGTCGACCAGTTTTGTGATCTGGAAGGGCTTCGTATGGGAACTTAAGTAATCCGCTTTCAACTCGTTCATACGCATTCTACTAATTCCATCTTCAATTGCACGAACAACATCTAAATATGTCTTCTTGTGTTTCAGTGCAATAGCTAGTGAAGCATTCATAGACTCGCACCTTTGTGTTGAGCGAATATTGGAAAAGAAATGACCGTTAGATATGCTTGTGCCCATAAGTGTCGTGTATTTCCCTTCTCAATCACCCATGGATGCTTTTGGACGTTGAATTCTGAAACAATCGAACGCCATTGAATATCAAATTCCTTGGTTGTCCACCAGGAAGCCATGCATTTTGAGAATGCTGCTGTAAACTTTGGGTCACCAATGTTAGCTTGTGCATTGCGAGAAAGATGCCAAGAACATAATCTGTGCTTAGCATAAGGGATAACAGATTTGATAGCCCTCTGCATTGCCCTATCCCCATCGGTTACAACGGAAATAGGTGATTTATTCATCATGGCTTCTAAAAAATTCTGTAGAACCCACTCGAAAGATTGAGACGTCTCGTCAGCGATTATGGCAGTGGCAAACACAATTATGTTATGGTGATGATTGACACCAACAATAGGCATAATTGGTCGACCATACAAATTATCTTTGTACGTTGTGTCGAACGCAATTACATCACCGAAGCATGTGTAATCCGATCTCGATGTAGAATCCGACCAAATAAGATTATACAATGCCTCCGATTTGTCTACCGAGTATGTCATAAAAAACCCGGGATCATCATGTTTCTTATAATCAAAGTAGGCAATAAGCGCATTCACATCCCCATCGACGATTTCCTTTGCTTTACCTCTTTGAAGTGCATTGTAGAGGTCTTTATGTGTAAATCCAACATTATGATAGCCCCCTGCCTGCTGCGTTAAATAGTTCATTACTTGTGACGTGCCAACACCGACCTCTTTCAATGTTGTTGCCTCATCGATATCAGCCTTACTTACAGCTCTATTAGAACGCATAAATGGTGTCATAGCAGATGTGCACAATGCATGATTATGTTTCTGATCAGACTTACTTATAACCCACTGATCGTTTGTATTTGTTGCTGTAACTACGACTCTAGCCTTACATCCTGTTCTTGTGACTGGCGTATAAGCACGTTGATGATCAACAGTATTGACTTTTGATACTCGAAACCCTTCTTTGGAACAACAAAATTCTTGTGTCTTCACATTCCCTTCCACGTCAAGCCGTGTTGTTCCCTTACGTGCACTAAACCCATGTTCCCGTGCGAATCCCTTGTAAAAGTGCCAAGCTTGATCACGTGAACAGAAGAGCTGACCAACCAATCTGTCAGATTCATCAACATTATGTACTTCATAGCATTCCTCGGTTGGCTTAACATTGTCTACATCAGTATTATCCATGGCAAAAATTTTGTTGTGCAAGTTCAGTGCTCCAGGAGTTGATGGAGATGTAAGCAAAGGTTCATTTTGAACATGTTTCAGTCGTGCTGCTTTCACTATGATGTGGCATTGGTAGTGGTAGTTAAAGGGTGGGTACAACATTAAATTCGCAGTACATATTTAGGTATGTACAATAATTACAAGTATATATTATCATTAAATTTAGGTATGTACAATAACTACATATTTAGGTATGTTTGTTAACTACATATTTAGGTATATACATCTTTTGAGTGAGTTTTAAGATATTAATTTAGTAATTATAGGAGTCTAATGATTTATTTTTTACGTTACGGTATATATTATTATTAAATTAAAAACAATAAACATATATTACATATTTATTATTATCTTTGGTTAATGTTGTTAAATTTAAATTATAAATATTATTTTATAAAATATCAAAACAATCAAATAATTTTTTGTGTAAATGAAATTATTAAATTAATATTGTAGGTGGAAAACATGAAACACTGTTAAAAAATTGAAACATAAATTACATAACTTTTAAAAAAAGTATCGATCCTTTTTATAAAAGTATGGACACTTTCAATATAATAGGTAAACATATGATGTAATAGGTAGCGCTTATATAATGTAATAGGTATCGTTTATATAATGTAATAGGTAGTGGTTATATTGTAAAGTATCTATCCTTTTTATAAAAGTGTCCATACTTTTTTCACTGTGGAAAACATTAATTTAAGGTTATCTTTTGAGTGAGTTTTAAGATATTAATTTAGTAATTATAGGCGTCTAATGATTTATTTTTACGTTGCGATATATTATTATTAAATTAAAAATTCTAAATATTATTTTATAAAATATCAAAACAATCAAATAATTTTTGTGCAAATAAAATTATTAAATCAAATTACTTTATTCCAACCATGTGACAAGTGTGACAACTCCATCAACTCACAACTCAGCTTTGAACTCAATCAATATTGTCTTTTAGCTTGATGGTTCATAAAGCATGTTACTTGAACAGTATGAATCAATTATGCAATTTTCATGTTTAATTTAACACTGCATTTCAAATTCATTTCATATGTAATTGGAGTTTGAATTTAAATTTCAATTTGAGTTTGAATTTCAATATATATTTCGGCTCCACTATAAATATTAGCCCAAGCCAATATGCATGATAACATTGATTATTCCTAATTTCCATTGTTTTTTTTCCAACGTTTAAACGCGAGGGAAATCCCGACCATTGTATTTTTTGGTCAACTTTAAAGCGTCAGAAACGTTTCGGGCGTATGATCTGGGTGGTAAACAAATAGCAACTAAAATCATAAGTCCGAAATGCTTCTGAGTACCACCCAAATCATAAGTCCGAAATACTTCCGATGCTCATCAAAATCCAAAGCTCATATGGTGCCAAGCAAAAGGAAATCAAAATTCAAATCTCATATGATGCCAAGCAAAAGGAAATCAAAATCTACAACTTGAGTTTGAACATTGATATGATATGTTCAGTTGTTATCATGTTGGGATTTTCTCGTTTTTGATTGCTTGGATAGTTGTTCTCTTGCTTCTTCAAGTGTCATTAGCTTGTAATTTATAGCTTGGAATGTGTTTGATGTTGTATATATTATTATTAAATTAAAAACAATAAACATATATATTACATATTTATTATTATCTTTGGTTAATGTTGTTAAATTAAAAATTCTAAATAATATTTTATAAAAAATCAAATAATTTTTTGTGCAAATGAAATTATTAAATTAATATTGTAGGTGGAAAACATGAAACACTATTAAAAAAATTGAAACATAAATTACATAACTTTAAAAGAAGTATCGATCCTTTTTATAAAAAGTATGAACACTTTCAATATAATAGGTAAACAAATGATGTAATAGGTAGCGCTTATATAATGTAATAGGTATCGTTTATATAATGTAATAGGTAGTGGTTATATTGTAAAGTGTCTATCCTTTTTATAAAAGTGTCTATACTTTTTCCAATGTGGAAAACATTAATTTAAGGTTATCTTTTGAGTGAGTTTTAAGATATTAATTTAGTAATTATAGGCGTCTAATGATTTATTTTTTACGTTACGATATATATTATTATTAAATTAAAAATTCTAAATATTTTATAAAATATCAAATAATCAAATAATTTTTTGTGCAAATGAAATTATTAAATTAATATTGTAGGTGGAAAACATGAAACACTATTAAAAAAAATTGAAACATAAATTACATAACTTTAAAAGAAGTATCGATCCTTTTATAAAAGTATGGACACTTTCAATATAATAGGTAAACATATGATGTAATAGGTAGCGCTTATATAATGTAATAGGTATCGTTTATATAATGTAATAGGTAGTGGTTATATTGTAAAGTGTCTATCCTTTTTATAAAAGTGTCCATACTTTTTTCACTGTGGAAAACATTAATTTAAGGTTATCTTTTGAGTGAGTTTTAAGATATTAATTTAGTAATTATAGGCGTCTAATGATTTATTTTTTACGTTACGATATATATTATTATTAAATTAAAAATTCTAAATAATATTTTATAAAATATCAAATAATCAAATAATTTTTTGTGCAAATGAAATTATTAAATTAATATTGTAGGTGGAAAACATGAAACACTATTAAAAAAAATTGAAACATAAATTACATAACTTTAAAAGAAGTATCGATCCTTTTTATAAAAAGTATGGACACTTTCAATATAATATAATGTAATAGGTAAATTTGTAATACTATCGGTATAAATATACCGGTTTACTTATAAAATAGGTAAATATAAGCGCTACCTATTACATTATATAAGCGCTACCTAGTATGTTATTGTACTTTATAATATTTCCGGTTAAATAATATAACATAACCGGTATAAATTTTAACTGGTCAATTGTTTAACCGTTCACGCCGTATATTAGCCTTTTTTAGGCGCCGCACCGCATAACTACCCACATGTTTTAGGGCTTAGGCTTCATCGACCTATGTGCAGGGAAGTCCGGAACCCTTCTTCATCGACCTATGCGTCGGTAAATTGATGGATATTAGGACTCATCATTTACAGATATCGCAGGGCTCATCTTCTTCTTCCTCCCATTAAAACTACTGCATGAAACAAAGCTTGGAATGCAACACTGCATGGACTTGAATGGCTTCTCCTTGAACGTAGTCTTATCTCCATTAGGAGTCCTTTCGCTACTGCAAAGAGAGTTAGCTCCAGACACATGAGGGGTTTCATTGGATATATCCTGGTTGCTCGAGGTGTTTAGCTCGTTATTGTCGTCCCCGTTTTCTCTAACGCTCTCCTGAAACAGTTCGAGGAGTTTCCTTTTCTTTCCTGTCGGGGATGTTTCGGAAACCAACAATGGCGATCGATCCACGGTACCCTTGTTAACTCGAGGGGTCCCCACGGAGAAGCTATGATGAACGGGGGTATTACCACGAGACGGAGTAAAATCTGCACATGAATGTACAACATTTGGATGATATAACAACTTGTACTAGACAAAAAAACAAGTACTTAACTCGAAAACGATCAGCTTGCTAGACGAGTTAATTCGAACAGTTAAAATCATCTTACCACCATTGACACTGAAAAAATCATCTTCACAATCCGATTCTAGATATGCCCCGGAATCGAAAAAGGTTTCCTCTTTACTACCTGCAGAACGAAAAGATCGATTCAGCCTAAGGCATTTATATAGCTGAAAAGAATGTCGTTAATGTATGAGCAAAGACATATTGATATGCTTATACCATAGAGTACATATACAAACTACATCAACACGACGTCGAACGTTACTATTATACGACAATAGATCGAACATCTCGGGAAAAAGTGCAAATACACGACTTAACTCGACGCGGATTGACCTATCATTCAGAATCCTTAAAGAAGCAACCTCTGCATTACCCCTGTTGAAATGAATATGTACCCAAGTGTACTGTATTGTGACATAAATTCTACATGTAGTAAGGACCACAACATAATCCTCAAGTTGTCTGTGTTCTTTTATCTCCATTAATGTCGAATTTCGACAGTTAAAAGACGATAAGCTCTTAAAACTGTTTGCAGCTTCCTACTATTTAAGAGTGGTCCATCCATCATCAAGGTCCCCTCCACAAGGACGCATAGTTTAAAACATAGATTCATACAGGAACAAGATTGCTACTTGCTGACTTGTCTGTATACTCAATCAGGCTAAAGTTAGGTTCTCAACTTCAAATTCAACACTACCATACATGAGAAAGATTAACTTCATCTCATGTTCTGCTAGTTTCGGCAATCATCGACGTCGTTTTCGTGTAAACTAACAAATTCCGAACAGCCAATGACTTTTCTTGCAAGACAAGGAGGGGTTAAAATTGCATTTCCATTTTGTTAACAAAAAGCAAAACAAACTCTACAAGCAATTGCAGGTGAGATTTAGTTTGGAGCACAAGAGTGTGCTCCTCCTTGCTAGGATGGACCGCGGGGTGGGTGGGAGTCGCCGCCGCCTGAAAATTTCAAAATTCTCATATAATTTAAATATTTTATTTATATTTTGGTTAATAATATGTTTTCGACTCCTAACATAAAATTCCGAGTTCATCCCTCTGTATATGTTGTCTGTGTTCTTATATAAACAACCCTAAAAATCAATACTTTGGAGCATCATCATTCATCAAACAAAAAACTAATTAATTGACAAACCAAATACTCATTTCAGATCTGACATCATAACACTGAAACATAATCCAAAACCAAAAACAGAGAGAAGATCAACAACCAAATAGAATAGATACTTCTACACTCCATTGAAGGAAAATATGAACCAAATAGATTGTCACCAGAAACAGAAACGAAAAAGGAATGGAATTTACCAAAATATTTGAAAGAATAAGGAGATTTGAGAGCAAAGTGAGGATTGGAAGAAGGTTTCTCCTTAACAGGTGAAGGTGGGATGAGGAGGCTATCTGTTTTAGACTGAAAAGAAAGTTCAAGCTTCATTGGTGACTCTCCAGGACTCCTATGAACTGAAACACATGAACCCATCTTTATCTCTTTTCTTTAGAGCTGCGACATCAGCCAATCTCAGAGCAATGGAAAAAGGATGAAACTTTCTACTTTTTTTCTCTCAGCAACCAAACAGGCAGAGGCAAAGGAAAATGGAAGCGAGATGGAGCAGAGAGAGCGTTCCTTTGGCGTTATGTTAAAGGAGTTGGAAACGAAAATGGTTACTTTGAGTTAGAGAGATAGAGAGACCAGATTTGCCACTGAAATGAAAGGGATGATAGCACTGGCATTACCATTTAGCAAGCAGTGCATCAAAAAAACAACTACTTTTTACGATTTTATTTATTAAAATATTATTTAAATTCCCAGGTTTGACCCTAATAAATGTTCGATATAAACGTTCAATGTTAAATAATTGAGAGTTATCTTTAGACAAATATTATCTTACAACTAACTTAGATTAGTGTAAAATGGCATGTCAGACTCTAAATAGGACTAGATTAATCGTAAGTTATTTGAATTTGATTCAGTTAAAGCTCGATGAATACTCAAATTATATGAATTCAAGTTCAAACTTAAACTCGAATTAAACTCAAGCGAGCTACTTGATATTTGACTCGAAAAACTATCTAGCAAATCGGAAAAAATAACATATTGATTTTTTTTATTTTTAAATTAAATATTAATAATACTAACATGTATATGTTGGTTTTTTTAATATATAATATAATGTTTTAAAGTACTTAAGGTTCGAGTTCGAGTTTCAATCAAACTAAGTCTGAGAATGTTTCGAGTTCAATTTTTTTTCGATCTCTAGTCCAGCTTCAAATTTTTATTTTGAGTTCGAGTATCAAGTAGCTCGTAAGCTTTCCAGTCGAGTCAAACTTTAATTTTTGATTTTGAATTCAAATATAATTTAATAATTTTAACTATAAACCTTTTGAGTCGGGCCGAACTCAACAATGATCGAGTTCGGCTAAATTCATTTACAGCTATAGTCAGATCATTTGTATTATCTAAAACATGTATTTTTATTTATGTGACAATGATACATTGATTAGGATTAAGATGAATGAAAAGAAAAATATTATAAAATTATAAAATTTTATCTCAAAAGAAAATTGTACGAAAATACATATATAAATTTTGCCCAACAAGCAATAAAATGTTTCACTTGTAATTTTTAAATTAATTAATAAATTAGAAATTATAGTAATATTTAATATTAAGGTAAAACATCATATGTAAATATTCAATGAACAAAATATTATTATTTTCAGAAATTAATAAAAATAATACATTAAATTCTAAATAAATTTTAAGCGGACCCTTATTATATTATTTTATTGATTTATGAGCTATTGACTTCTAAAAATTATAGAATGATCATTAAATTTCTTATTTTGTTACAAAATAGTCATGAAATTTTATTGAACTTTTTCAATCATTACAATGTTGCACTGATCATTTTATGATAGTTCGATGAATCTAATGATCATTTTATAACTTCTAAAAGTTTTGTAGTCAAAACGGTCATTTAAATATAATTTAAAGACCTTTAGTGTACTTTACCCTTTTATCTAAACTTGGATTAATCCCCTCTAGCAGAAGAAATTCAAGAAATGTAAGCATGATTTCATACTATTTGTGATTTTTAAAATAAACAATTTATTCATTTAAATAAAAATAGAGTTTATTCCACCTTAGCTCCATTTTGTACAGGAAGGAATGCAGAAAATGTGTTGAGGAGTTAAAATTGAAATTAATTTTTAAAAGGGTTAAATTATAATTTTATAATTATATTAAACTATTCATAAAATTTAAATACCAAAATAGACTATATTATCAAATTTAAAGATAAAAAAATTTCCTCATCGACTTCAGTGGTTAGATAGATCCCGTGGGTAGGGTTGTAAACGAGCCGAGTCAAGCATGAGTATTGTTGAGCTCGACTCGAACTCGAAAAGTTTAAAATTAGGCTCAACTCGATTTAAAAACTCACGAGCTAAAAATTATCAAGCTTAGCTCGAACTCGAAATATAATATTGAAACTCGACTCGAACTCGAAAAAGCTCAAACTCAAAAAAAAATTCAGGAGCTCGATTGAAGCTCGAGACTTGAGCTCGATTGAAGCTCGAACTCAAACTCGAATTTGAACCTACAAAAATCTTATATTATATTTAAAATATATTTTTTAAAAATTATAATTATCAATAATGTATTTTTAATATATTTTAATAATGTAATTTTAAAAAAACTAAAATTATAATATAACAGTTTTTTTCGAGTAGCTCGCGAGCTTTTCAAGTCGAGTATTAAGTAGCTCGTCAAGAATTTGAGTCGAGTTCGAGCTCGAGTTGAGTTCATTCGATTCGAGTATTGATCGAGCTTTGATCGAGTCAATCTCAAATAGCTCACGATCTGTCTCGTCTCATTTACAACCCTAACCGTAGGGTCTCAATTTATATGAAATGCTATACCTACTCTTGCATTAAGTAAAAAGACTATATATTACCTACTTTTGCAATTCACCTACTAATCATGACTTTTGGAAATATATTTGGTCAAATTTAGTATAGGGTTGAAGATATCAAATTTCATTTTGTGTGAATTATATGTAAATTTTATTATCAATTATTTAATGTTTGTAAGTGTAGTTTATATGAACAATGATGGAGTGAATTTAGATATGCTTTTCTTTTTTAGGTTAGGGTCTTTATCATTTTTATCTATATAATATTTTTATATCAATTTAGTCCTCAAAATTATTTAATTATATCATTCTAAACCCTAAAACATAAACCTCAAACCTTGAATCCTAAGTTTTAGTCTCTGAACTCTAAATTCTAAACCTTGGACCTTAAATTCTAACTTAAAACCCTAAACAATAATAAATATTTTAAATATTGATGCAATTAAATAAGGACGAAAAATGATAGATTGAGACTACTAAGGAAAAAAATGACCCTTAAGTTTTTTTATTCAGGGTAAATTATAAATTTGGTAACTAAATTTTACTCACTTCTATTTCACTCATTGTACTTTAAACATTTTCAATTTCCTCACTGAACTTAATACATTGAGTTTTTTGGCCACTCGACAGTTAAATAGTTAACATCGTTAAAATGAATAGTTATATAGATGCAAAACGACGTCGTTTTGGTAAAAAAAATTAACGGTGTTGTTTTTAACGCCTTTAACTATTTAACGACAGAGTAACCAGAATAGAAGAGATAATAAAGTTAAGTGACAGAAAAACCGAATGTATTAAGTTTAGTGAAAAAATTAAAAACTTTTAAAGTTTAGTGAATAAAATATGAGAGAGAGTAAAGTGATGAAATTTGTAATTTACCGTTTTGTTTATATTGAATTCAGCCTGATGTCTAAATTGCAACACATTGGATGGTAGGAGGGTTAAGAAATGAAAGGGTAGAGGGGTAGGGACTAGGGAAGAAAAAAATCCAAAATCTGAAACAATCAATCAAACTGGGATGTTCTATAAATAATTGAGGGAATGATGTAAAACCATGCAAGTTTTGTGCTGTCAATCAACACATACACTGAGGATTTAGATTAGAATATGAACGAACCACGAAGCATGACACATGGCTGAAATTCGACCAGAAGTCACAAATCATTACAAACTATCTATTTCCTTTTTTGTCTTCTTGTTCTCTCACTACCAGACATTAGACATGGCTACGTGGTGGATTAGCAATGAAAAACCAGTTCATAGCATCCTGTTACTGCTTCTTGACTTGGAACCAAAGGCTGAGGATCTATCTTGATGTAGCAGTGGCATTACAGTATATGCACCAGATTATGAATCCAAGCTATGTTCATAGAGATGTCAAGAGCCGGAACATCTTCCTCGATGAAGATTTCAACGCAAAGATCGGGAACTCCGGTATGTCAAGTTGTGTCGAAGATGATACAAAGTAGGGGTGTATTCGGTTCGGTTCGGTTAGGTTAGGTTTTTTATCAAAAATTGAATCGAACCGAAATAAACGGTTTTTCAATATTTAAACCAAAACCGAATAGTTAAAAAATCGAAAAAACTGAAACCGATTTTTTCGGTTCGGTTTATCGATTTTTCAATGAAAAAAACTTTTTTTTACAAAAAATGCATATTCGGTTCAATATGGAACAAATGGGTTCCATATGAAAAATCCGAACCGAACCGTTTAAAGCCAAACCGAACCGAACCGTTTTACTCGATTCGTGTCGGTTTTTCGATTTTTTCGGTTTCGTTGCTCACCCCTAATACCAAGTACCCTGATCTTTCAACTAACCCTGCCATTTGGAGCTTGGTATTGGATATATGAACTGCAAAATAACACCGTTAGCACTGACTGGAAATATAAACAGTAATTAAAAAGAAACAGATTCGTAAACCGTGTCGTGGTAAAAATCACTGTCTTAGAAACGAATTTGTCCCGATGTGTGTAATCGCTGCAGTAGGCGGACCGTCCCCAGAGGTTAACACAGTCGCTCCGAATTCCGTACACCCGAAATCGGAGTGGACTGCTGGTGGTATTGCTCTTCTGATTGGAAAGCACTCAGAGAGAACTCACAGAGAGAACTGTAGAAAACACTTTTGTAAGTGAATTGTGAATGTTTGAGAGTGAGTTGAGAAGCTGAATATAGCTCTCTATTTATAGGCTAGAAATATGGTTAATATCGTCCATAAAATTTCAAGATTAAATCTTTTCTTTTGTAACAGCTGAAACGTCTAGATGAACCTGACTAAAAAATAGTCCAAGTTCATTGCATCATTATTCAGCTGTTATAACTCCTGAAATTATTTCATGTAACCCCTGAAATTAAATTAAATAACTCCTGATTTCATTGCATCATTATTCAGCTGTTATAACTCCTGAAATTATATCATGTAACCCCTGGAATTAAATCAAATAACTCCTGATATTAACAGCTTGTCTCCTCTGTACAAAGCTGGAAATCAACGACCACGACCACGAGCCGAGCCGTGTCGAGACGAGACGGACGGCGGCGGCGGTACGCGAGAGTCCTTCTTATTCTCTATCACTCAACAAGGAAGTGGGAAAGCCAAACCTTAAATACCATTCTCAATAGTATTTACAATTCTATGTGAGATAGAGCATTACCAACACTTGGGTTATCTAGCTCCTGAATATCTTCACCAAGGTGCGATTTCCCCAGCGATCGACATTTTTGCTTACGAGATAGTTTTGCTCGAGACTTTATCCGGACAAACACCGATAAGCAGACCTGATAAGAAGGGAAAAGGGAATGTCTGGCTTTCGGAGAAAATCAAGGCTGTATTGCAGTCAGAAAATGCAGATGAACTAAGGGAGTGCATGGATAGTGCTTTAGCAGATGAACAAAGTTGGTAGGTGACATCAAAGTTGAACTTAACACCCCACGTCGGCAGAACCGCTATCGTTCCACAACCTGGTTGCAGTATTGACCATTCTGTTCCGGAAAGACACCGAACAGCTATGATCATCTTCTATGCTCTTCGCTATAATTTGCAATAATGCACCGGATTAAATCGGCATAGAAATGATATCGTAATTCCGGGGATTTGTCTAAATGGATGTTTGCCATGCTTCAAGTAACCCAACATTCATAACAGATAAACACATGTTTTCTTAACAGAAGAATTCATCAAACAAACATAGGAAACAAATTGTAGCATCAGAATATTTCTCCCAACCAGCATTTTTAATCTGCTTGATCGAATGCCGGAACAATATTGCAGGGGCCTTAGCAGGATCCTTCACCCTTCAATTTAAAAGAAAAAATTGGTAATTTATGGTATTTAGTGTTGAACTGGGGTATCCTTTTTGATATAGGTTTGCCACACTGTGAGAAGAAGCATGATAACAGCATAAATTTGAGCAGCAATAGCCCAACTGCCCAAGGCTTTGTGAAATAGTTGTGCACATAGGCCGCTCGCCATCGAGGCCAACAACTTTTGCAATGACTATCGAGTTTATCGCTAAGTTCTGAATAATAGAATTCCTTGATATAAGTATCATTGTAAAGATTACTGAAAAACTGGGTTGAATCTTCGAGACTCAGCCAGTTATCGATGATCTCATTCTTGCATAGTATCTCCATGCCATTGTTGGTGTCGATAAGGTTATCCAGGAGCTTGGCAATGACCGAAACACCGCTCGTACGCGATCAGGTTCCGGAAGATCGGTTCGGTTGTCTCTTGGATAAGCAACGACGGGATTTCGAGACAACCGTCATTGAACTTAATGTCCAAGACGCTATCCGCCGTGCCTTTCTTGAATTTTACTCCAGCTTCTTTGAGCCTTGTGACGGAACGAATTGGTTGCCATCGGTTTGTCGGTTTGTTTTTGATTTCTTGGAATGGTAACACCAATGACAATCTTAACAGATCAAGAATATGCTTGATATCTTGATCTTTGACTTGACATGTTTGTACCGGAGGTGGATGAGAAGTGAAGGTATTAGCAAAGAACTTAAGGGCAAGTTCAATCAAGGACTCGGTTTCATTAGGGAGACTGGTTTTTTCAAACAACAGTTCAAGCACTAACCAGGGGATTTGATTCTCAAGCAAGATCAGATCATGGTGCAGATATTGCAGCATACATGACATGGCGAAAATCGGGTCACAATGCTCCTTGTCCTTTTTGGCATCTTTACGGGAACATCTCAGTAACGAAGACACCATCGAGCAGCATCGTTTTAATGAATTCATCGCCCAATTCCGCAGCAAAATCATGGCCTGCATAGCAAGCACTGGCCTGTTTCTCGATCGACTTAACAGCATTAATCAAATCAGATAAAACTTTCTGTTCTTCAACCTCCTTGGATTCTCGGGACATCGACCCGTGACGACTTGTAATCACCCTGGAAAAGCAAGCTTTCAAGTACTTCATTGTGATTTTCTCAGTGGCTACCAAGTGCTTCTTGCCATGGTGCATTGGCCCAATGGAGAAACAATTGGGAAGAAAAGAGTTTTTGTTGTGCCGGAAGAGTATGGTCGGGATGTTGAAGATGCAGTAGCTTTGGGGCATAGATGAACAAGCATCCCTCAGTTCATCCTTCAGAGAAGCCAACGATCCTACATCGATTATAACGATTTCACTCGATCTTTCCCTTGCTGCTGCCATTTACAAGCCTGCTGAAGGAGATCTTTTCAAGATTATAATGCTTGAAAATAATACAACCAAGTTCTTATTTCAAGATTAGAATACTGATCCCTTGCTTCAGCCTGAGTCATTCAAGATTCCATGCCCTAAAAGTGTTACATTACTACATCATTTGATTGCCCTTATGCACTGTAAAGGCACAAAAAGAAAGAGAAAAAGGGTTCGATTTTCAGCTGGCAACCGGCAAGGTTCCTTCATCTTTTGTAGAGTAAACCATCTGATCTTAGCTCTAAATTCTTTACAAATTAATCAGAATGCTTTATTTCCAGTGCGGGAAAAGTGGAAAGTACCCTCGGTTAAGATCGGTGGATGGATTGATCGACAAGTTATCGAGATCAGTGGATGGATCATACATCAATCTGTTCAAAGCTCTTGCAAACCTCTACTGTTACTTGCAATTGCAACTTTTGTATGTTGTATATGTTGAAAACCTCTTAAGACTATTACATGTAATTTATAAGAAAGGAAGAGTAGGTGCACATTCAACACATTAAAGAACTCCCCTAGATCAGTCCTCTTTTATGTATGTTTGCCATAGTGTGAGAACAAACATGATAAAACCATAAAATGTAGTGACAGCCCAAGGCTTGCTGAAATAGTTTCGGACTAAGTGCGCCCGCCATCGAGGCCACCACCTTTCGCAACGCCAGTTCAGTTTATCACCAAGTTCGCAACCAGTCACTGTTTTATAAGCTCACCTCCTCTAATATAAGATCTTGCGTTCGTTCGTGATCGTATAAATCGGAACTCCAACTTCTTATCTTCAAATAGATGGCAAAGGATCAAGGGAGTTAAAGCATGTCCCTTGTTGAATGCTTTTTACCTTTGAAAAGTTAAAGGAAAATGTAAACATTGTTTTTCTTCATCATCACACTAAGAATAAAGCAAATTACAGTAAAAAAAAGTTAAAAATAATTTAGTGTAAGCATTATTTTATTAAAATATGATATGGCATGGCATTAGTGATCGGAACTCTGGACTATTTTATTATTATTTTAGTATGACATGATATTTTTTATTACTATTTAATATTAAATAACTGAAAACATAAAATAAAAATTGACTATCGCCGTAGATGGTGATCGTTCGGTCCCAAATTTTATGAGCCAGTTCGTCTCAACACCCCGAGTTTAAATCTAGTGGATCACCGAAAAATGTCCCAAAACCCGTACTGAAATATTTTAGTTTTCTCACTTTCCATCTCTAATTCATGGACTTTGGAGTAAGTTCCAAAAAAATGGAGCCCGGATTCAGACTCAAGGCAAACCGACCCATAAAAATTGGGACCGAACGACCACAATATACGGCGGTCGGTAGTGGTGTCCCAAAACCTTTTGTTTTTATTTTATATTTTAATTTATTTTATATTAAATAATGAAAAATGCCACATAATACGAAAATAATAAAAAAATAATTTGGATTGATCAAAACAGAAATAATTCGAAAGTTCTGTTAGTAAATTAGAAAAATTGAAAATACGACAAGTAAAAAAGGAGAAAGAGTATAATTCAGTGAGGAATGATGTGATTTACCCTTATATAAATGTGACATACTTAACCAATCTTTATAATTTATAAATTTTATTTATTGGGGTAATTAGAAGCTCATTTACACTTTTCAATTCATATGGGGAAAATGTGAGGACTGGGTGTTTGGGTGGTTGGAATTCATTGTAATTATATGATAATAAAACTATAGTATTACATATTTATACAGAGATTTTCTAAGCACATAATGATTTAAACTCAAATTACTTATCATATGAATTAATCTTGTTGATATATATATTGAATTTAAATTCAAATTATTTATTCTTGAAGAATTATTACATATTATTATTATATACAAAGTAGACATAATCAGACGATACCAAGCTGATATATATATATATATATATTGCAGAAGAAGTAAAGCTTTATTTTGACTTGATTGTATAACCAAGAGCAACAGCATATTGAAGAAGATCTTCGAACTCGTCACCGCTAATGAGCTTATCTCCGTTGTCATCGGCATGCTGAAGAGCGCCAAGAGCTCGAAACGCCGCCACTCGCGACCCCATCTCATTGAATGCTTTCTTCAGCTCCGACTTGCTCAGACGCCCGTCTCTGTCGCCGTCGAATCGCCGGAACAAGGCTTTCAGTTGTCCCTTCGACAACGGCAGGGCTGCCGGCTTTGGTTCCCACCTTTGATCCATTGTCTCTCACTCTCCGGAAATTTCAAGAGTATATGTATGTTTTGCTTAGGGTTCTACAGGTAGCTAGGGTTTATATATATATATATATATACACACACACACGCACAACTATTCTCATATTCTTCAATCGGATTTCTTTGCTGAATTCTCAAACTGCAAATTAGGTAGAATCAGATTCGTGGTGATCTTTCATGGAATATAGTCTGGATTCATTGTATTCTTAAAAGTACATTACGTGATTGTTTTTTATAATTTGTTATGATTACATGTTTTTAATAGGTTTAATATAATTTTCGGTGATTAAATTATACTTTAAATTGGTTTTTTTTTTGAGAATTTTTCGTTAAAAATAGGTGTATAATGTTTTTTCCTTTACATTTTTAGATGTTTATAAGGAAGGGCAACGGTCGAGTCGGGTCTCGGTCCACATTTTTAGATGTTTATAAGGAAGGGCAACGGTCGGGTCGGGTCTCGGTCCACCCGAACCGAACCAAAAATTATACATCCTCCACCCAATCCGAAAAAATGCACTTTTCATCCAACCCGAAATGGATCCGTCTTTTTGAGAAAAAATCTTACTCGACCCAACACGAAATAATATATTTATTTAAAAAAATACTTTTATTCAATAAAAATAGGAATTTAATTGGAAAAATTATATAGAGGGGTATTATTGCAATTATCCCTAAATATGTAAGATAAAATTACAATTTTTCGGGTAGGATCGAATATTTTTCACCCTAAATCTGAACCTGACCTGACCCAAACCTAACCTCTAAAAAACTCGACCCGACCAGAACATAATCTATAAAAGTTTTCTCGACCTGACAAGAATCCAAAATTTAAAAAAAAACGATCAGGTCGAGTCAAAACCCATCAAGTTCAGGTCTCATGTCATCCCTATGTGTCTACCTTTTAAAAACCATTAAATGACAAGTGTCATTTTTAGATTTTTGAAAAAAAAATAATATTTTAATTTTTTTAAAAAATTGTGACACGTGTCACTTAACGG